ATTTTTTTGTTAACAAAGTTTAGAAATGTAAAACCCTTTTAGCCCAGGCTCTGTGCATTGACAGACCATAGTTTACTGACTCGAAAAGACAACACCACGTGTGAGCTAGAAAGCCTTGCACGGTCTCCCTCTGCCCATCCTTCTGCTACATCTCGCAGCTCAATTCCTGGCCCTCTGGGTGCTCCGGCCACCCTGGTTTCTTGTGTTTTCTGCAACACATCCTTTCCCTCCAAGCACGGGACATTGGTATGTGCAGTTTCTGGTTCCTGGGACTCTGAATTCCTGCCCATCCTCTCTAGAGAGCACAGCCCGAGCCTTGCTTCCCGGGGCGGGGGGAATCAGCCTTACCTCCCTGACTCCACCAGAGTCCTTGAAAATCTCACAGGTACCTCTGCTTCTCATGCTTCTCATCTTTCCTTACGGTTGCCAATTTACGTTTGGTTGATATGATCATTTATTTAGTATTGATCTTCCCCACTAGACCGTATGCACCACAGGAGCAAAGTTCTTGAGCAATGTGCTCTTGGGGGTCTTGGAGGGAGCCTGCTTGATGGCCTCTGCCAGTTTTCGTGGTGTAGATTCTCCCAGCGCTGCGCATCTCAAGCTACCAAGATGGCGTCCCTGAACGTGGAGATTCTCCCAGTGCTGCGCATCTCAAGCTACCAAAATGGCGTCCCTGAATGTGGAGGGGGGCAGGGATGTGCAGACCCAGCGCCGTCTGGCCACCGCCGATCTTCATGTGTTAAAGCCGACCTTTGCATCTGCATCCTCGTCACCCGACACGGTATCCAACGAATAACAGGAATCCGAGGAACCTCCCTGATGGGGTGGATGAATGAAGTACGGGATGGGAGCAAGGAAGCACCAAAATAAAAGGCAGAAATGGAGCGCGCCTTGGTCGAGGCTGTGACTTTCCCTTGTTCTTTTCCAGAAGAACTCTGGTTGCCAGACCTCAGAGTATTATAAGGTGGAAATAGAGGACACAAGAAGACAAATTTATGGTGACAAAAATCTCATTATAAAGTACATACATTAAAGGGACCGTGCATATTTTACTTCCTAATGAAAGGCTTTTATTCTGAAAATCCTAATGAAAAAGTTAGGAAAAAAGATGTCAGTAATGGGAAACTTGAATACTGGGATCATGTCTAAGAAGAAACAATTTGTTTGAGTAATATCCTCATCTTAATCTTGAAAGTGAGATGTGGAGGAGGGGAGTGCAGGGGAGGCTCCTGCATTTGGGAGACATCTGGGAACGTGTGTCTGTGTCTGGCGTGGATTTCCAGAATGCCATGGCGGAGACGGTTGGCTCGGTCTGGAGACCTCCTCCGACTGGAGCCAGCGATGCTGAGGACCCGGAGTGATGGTCCCTTTGAGCCCTCCCACCCACACTCATTCCTTGTTTCTCTTCCATTTGCAGAATCTCTCACCTAGCATCTGCCAGTTGCCTTTGGTGTCCTCCTTGCTTTAAAAACTCCTTCAGTTTCCCTAGAAGCAGACCTTGAGACAAGGACTTGCATGCAAGTGATGTATGAGGGAAGTGTCCCAGGAGAGACTGAAAAGAGACCAGGGAAAGGAGAACAGACAGGGAGGAGCCCAAGCACGTGGCAGGTGGCTCCAGCCTGTCCCCCTGGGGGAGACTCTGGGGGGTGAGCGGGGCTCCCGACCCACCCAGCTGGAGGCAAGGGAGCTGGACTGTCACCTCCAGCATCACCAGCCTCTGCCTGAGCACCCCTCCCAGGGACCGAAACCCCCAGGCACTTGGAGCTCTCTGCACTGTGGGCAAGGGGGTTTTGGAAACTCAAGAAAGAAAGGCATCCGGGGGTGGTGACAGGTAGGTGTGATTAGGAACAGAAGCACTCAGAAGCCAGAGGTGTGGCATAGAGACACGATGCAGGTGGCAAGAGGAGATAGTCTCTGCCCAGTGGTAGATGACTGTCCTTCACACGACCTCTAGGGAGCACATCTCAAACTACTTTCCAAGGCCACAGCCATTGAGATACTAGCCTCACCTCCTCGCTGGTTTTCCTTTTGTTCTCAGAAATTTTACCCATTCATCTTTGAGCGTACCAGCTGGAAAAGCCTATTTGGAAATGGAATTTCACTCTGTGCTCCCCCCTACACCCCACCAGCTTCCCCACAGCCCTCACACGAGCCCTGGGAGCCAGTCCCCCACGTGGGCGGTGGCAGAGTGAGGTTCGATCATTGGCATTCGTTTCAAGAACCTACCGTAACATGTTAGTGTTCTAATATGGAAAAAAAAAAAATGCAGGTAGCTTTCAGATGCATTGACCTGCATCTCCAATACTCAGGTCTAGATGGTTCTCATACGAGCAGGTCCATGTCTACATGGTTTCTTATCCCTCCAGTGGATGGTAGGCTCTCCTCGCTAAAGCTCTAGCTTCCACATCTCTACTTTGATTTGTAGACACATGGTAGCACTGAAAGAGTTGGCAGAGGACCCTAAAGGCAGCCTGATATCCAAGTACCTTGTTACAAACATGTCCCAGCTTCGCCTGTCCAGAATTTATTTGAGGCATCGGGGGCTGAGCTGTGTTTCTACTAGGGGACGGGAAGTTGCTGTCCTTGATCTTCATGGCTAATAAGCAAGCCTGTCGCCCTGGAGCAAGAGGTGGGGGACTTAGTCCCGCAGGGATGGAGAGTGGGCGCTCTGCATTCACATCTCCTGGCTCCTTCTCCCGTTAGCTGGGTGAGCCTCGCTGAACCTAGGTTCTCATCTACAAACTGGCAGTTAATCACAGTTATTTCCTGGGACACTGTGAGGATCACATGTGGGTATAAGACCTAAAAAGCCCTTAAAAACAGTGTTTGGCACATTCAGAGTACTCAATAAATGCTGCTTGTTGCATCGTCTGGAAAAAGAGGTGACGATCTTAAAGTGAGACTTTTTCTTTTGAAAATGATGCCCTTTTTGGCCTTGGGATCTGCTGAGGTGGTCTTGCCGAGCCTCAAGTTTCATTGCCTTCCTTGGGTTCCTGAGCCGTGGCCCTGAGGGTTGTGGTCACTGTCTGTGCCTGAGAGCCTTGTGTGCATTTCCCTTAAATTTCACGAAGCCTCAGATTGTGTCATGTGGTCCGAAGCTGTGCCTTTGTGTCCCTTCCCTTCCCAGTGAAAAGGTGCAGAGCCTGAACCCAGCACACAAAAGGGTCCAGTAAGGAAAGGTTGTTGAGGAATGGGAAGAGCTCTCCAAACCAGGGAGATGGTGCTCCTCTCTATAAGGAGGACAAGCTGCAGGAAGGTGCTTCCCAGCCCACATGGACGGAGCCAGCCCGCAGGGATCGGAGGTGCCCGTGAGGTGAGAGGCTGAGTTCCCTCCTCTGCTCCCTGTCACCTGTCAGCTACGAGCAAACAGGGCAGGGAGGTGGCTTCTTGGCTTGCTGATGCTGGTAGGGCCCATGCCCAGAAGGCTGGCAAGTCCCTAAGTTGGATGGAGCCCTGAGCCACTCCATGCAAACCCTGCCCGACTCAACAGGACTGCCTTCCTGGAGGAAGCTCACACATGGAGCCCGTCCTTACTGCACCTTATTTGACTGGCCTGGGGGGCAGGAGACAGGAGGCTGGAGGGGTAGGGCTGCATCCAGGGCCATCAGAAGTGGCGTCTGGACACATCAGTCTTATCCACCCCCTGGGCCTCCTTGCCTGGAATTCTGTGCCTGTCCCTCCTCGCTGCATGTTCATGGGCATCTGGAACCTTCTTTGTGGCTCACCTGTGACTTCACTGATTTTACCCGCCATACCTCCCAAACCCATTAACTCCATACACTGTGTTTCTAATACCTTCATATCCAGAATACCTCGCAGAGTGCCAGTGTCCCCATAATTTAGCCTGTATAAACCTGACTCAGTTGTTCACGGTCCTGACTGCATGGTAGGATCACCTGGATTAAAAAAGAGACAGACACGTGGAAGGAAGGAACAAAGGGAGAGGGAAAATCAGTAGGCCTGGTGCCTGGCGCCTCTCTGGAGGGAAAGCTGTGGGAGTGGTGCGTGGTCATTGGTTAATTTATAAAGCTCCCCCAGCAATTCTAATGCACGGGTGAGGTGAAAACCACTGTCAGCAGACGCACTGTAGAAACATTTACTTAACCTCCCATGTTTGTGTCCCATAACACCGTAGATGCCGTTCTGATGAACACCAGGCATTAGAACCTATGCTGGGCACAACTTGGAATAAATAAGTGTAGCCCCTCTTCAGGACCCTTAAAGTTAAACCCACAAATTGCAAAGGGGCAGTCCTTAGCTTTGCAGTTAAACATGGAGAAATGATAAATATTGCCAAATATGCAAGCGTTCTGGAATCTTGCACGCGTTAACCGTTTGCAGAGAGGTATTAAAATTCAAATTTCCACTGATCCGAGTCACACGTGATGAGCTATTCTGAACCTAGATCACCATATGCAGAATTTACACCGGAAATGATCAGGAACGTGCCCCACAGCCCAACTGCTTCAGAGCTTCTGAGAAGCCCATGCAAGCTAAGGAATCGTTCAAGAAAAACACACATTTGCACACAGTTTCAGGATCCACAAGCCTGCCATGGGCCCCAGGTTAAGAATTCCCAGAGTAGGGAGCTTTCATCACCACGTCAAAGGGAGGAGAGTCAGCTCAAAAGCGACCGTGTTTCTTCCACATCTTGGCCAGGCAAGGGATCTGAAGGAAAAGAGAAAATAAACTTTATAGAAAAACCTGGCAGGGTTACCGAATGAGGAAAACTAGATGAAATAAGTAGAGCCCTTTTAAAATTATAGTTGTTTTTATGGCTAGCTCTTGCACAAGGGGAAGGATTTAAATCCATGGAGAGATTTACAGATGCTTTCCCGGGAGAGGGAAGTCAGGAAGCAGACACACGGGCAGTGCAGTCTCCCGGTGGAGCGAGGATTGCTGGCTTTGCTGGAGGTGAGGGCACCTCGGCGGACACGGGAGGACAGAAGGCCGTGTAGACAGTAGGGTCAGGCTCCTGCTGTGTAGGAGTCCCCATAATGCCTCCGCTGTGGAGTCGAGTTCCTGAGCTCAACGTTGCCTCGTCTGTTCTGTGAGTCTCCATCTCCCAGTGACCAGGCAGAGAGGTGGGGCTCAGTACGGCCAAAAGAAGGGCTAGCCGTCTCCTAAATGGGGAGGAAGGGCCAGGGTTCTGGCAAGTTCCCAAACCAGAAAGGTGTGTGCTGACATCCTGATCTCGGGATTTCTCTACCTGTGGAAACTCTGGGTAGAGGCTCCAAATAGATAGCGGCCCGCTCCTATCACAACCACCACCTCCTCTTCCTCCTCGTCTCCTCCTCCTCCTCTCCCCCTCCCTCCTTCTCTTCCTCCCCCCACCCCGCCTCCTTTCCTTAGAGCTCCCCTGATGTCCCAGTATCTCACCTCATCCCTTACTTTGAGAAGAAAGCCCCCTGGGAGCCCCACCATTGTCTCTGAGCTTCTTACTGGGTCTGGTGGTGTGCTAGGCATGTTTTGGTAACTCTGTGTATATGAAAGGCCACACTTTGTAGTCCGGAGCATCAGAAGTCAGCGATCATTTTGCGGTTACGTGACATTTGAATCTTCGAGGACAGATGTGGTAGGTGGGAGTCGCTTTGGCCACTCGGGCCTAAAAAGCCTCTCTCATCGCTGCTTCCTCTGTTCATCCTCACCTGTGTGTGCGTTCTTCACTTCTGCCCTCAGGGAGGGGGCGGCCCCGCATGGGCCTTTCCTCCCCCCACGATATAGAAGAGCAGGCATTTCGTGAAAGGGGCCTGTGAAGAGGCAGAAGAGGGATCCAGTTAATTAAACTAACATAAATCGTTACAAAAATCATCCTGATAATCTCACTTGGCTTTGTTTCCAGATGCATGTTTATAGGAAACACCAGAATGTCCAAAAACTAACCATTGTTACAATGCCTCCTGTCTCCAGGGGACATCTGGCTGCTTTTCCGTGCTTCTCCGCATGCGCCCCATGGCCTCGCTGTCCTGTCCATGCCTCACCTCTGTGTCTCTGCACCACCAGATAGCAAAGCCACATCGCCCTCAGACACCTTTAAAATTCTGTGCATCCAGTTGGAACTGACTATGGCTTTGGAAAATCCAATATAAGCATCATACAGATTTCGGGGAGTGAGGGAAAGAATCCTAATCTCCTAGATGGATAGAGGGGAGGAAAGCGTTTAGGAAATGTGATCAGCGCTTTTCGTAACCATCCACAAACACCTGCCCTGGGAAGCCGAGCAGCCCACCAAACCGGGGAGAGCTGGTCTCTAAGACCAGCCGGTGCCACGGATCGTGTTGAAAATGGTGTGGGGTTATTTTTGATGGTGCATCTCTAAAACGCTCTTTGCAGAGACACACGTAGAGATGACACGTGTTACCCATTGCCTGCCTGCCACGCTCCGGTCACTCAAAGTTGTTCTCTGCTTCTCCTCAGTGTGGATGGACCCTCCTATGAAGTCATGCAGATCGACGTGGAAATAGAGGAGCCCAGTGACCCGCCGGCCACACAGCTTGTCACGTGGCAAGTGGAGTATCCAGGAGACGTCACGTCTGACTTGGGTGTCTCCAAGATCTACGTGAGTCACAAGGACCTGATCGGCGTCATACCCCTGGCCATGGTAAGAATGTCCCTGCCTTGGGTTGTCAATACAGAACCCGAGGGAAAGAAAGGCTCCACGCTGTCACCCAGACTTGGTGGGGAAGTGCCGGTGAACCGGGAACCAGGGTCGGGGGGCACTGGAACCTGAAGTCTACTACAAAGAGCTGAGTCTAAAAAATATATTGTCTCTAAATACTATTTTCAGAATATTATTTAGAAAATCATCAAACTCCAGGTATTAGATTTGGATCTTCCATTATAGGAAGAGTATCGATCATTTAATAACTGTGTTTCTATCATACATTGTAGACTTTAAGGATCTCAAATACATACACCTGCAGAGACCAAATAGATTAAGTGTATGAGTGAGTCATGCCAGGTGACATGGCCAGTACCTGCCCAGTCATAAGGCTTCACCTAGTGGGACAGCCATGTCGGAAAGCCAACGTGGGAAGCCACATTCTTGGTTCTTAAGATCTACCGATTTTCCAAGAAAGCCACAAATACAGTTTGAATGTGAAATGTCAACTTGTTCGTGTTGGCAGCTACTTAAAAATAAATGAAACACTATATAGGAAAGCGTTACCTATATTCATTCATAGGGCATCTGTTTACAACTTGGAAAAGATTGAAGGCCATTAGTCTGTGTGTGTGTTCTCTAGGATTTGTGAAACGGAGATGGGCTTTCATCCGTGAAGGGCTTCCTAGAGTGCCTGTGGGAAGACCCGCCATCCATGTTCCCTCAACAAAACACACTGACGCCCCATAGAGCTCTCCCTTTCCTCAGACTCTTCAGGAGCCCCTACAAAGGAATAATACATTTTTTTTAAATGTGAATTTTCATAGTGCAAAGGCTTGGGCATGTTCGTCTGCCAACAATAATGTGAGCTTTCTCCTGTTATGAAAGGACTTTTCCTGCCAGAAGTGAAGTATGAGTTGACCTATCCGTTGACTGCCCGGTGTCTCCTCTACACCGTCTGTTAGAAAATATTGACAAGTGTTATTAGAGAGTGCAGAAAGAACCTCAGGAATCAGTCTTTCAATAAAAGGTAGCGTGGACAGTTGCCTGGTGACAGCAGGTTAGTTATTATGCCGTTCATCAGGAAATGTAAAGGTGTTTGGGGTACTTCTGTTGATAAGGGCTCCTATTAACAATTTCTTTTATTTTGAAGGCATTGAGCCTCCCCGGGTGCCTCGTTTCACGTGTGAGGGTAGCATTCCTTCGGTTAGGCTCTTAGTAAGTGGTTCTATTACTGGGGATGGCAAGACCATTTGTCTTGAATAAGGAATTATTTGAATTTGCTCCTTTTCAGCACCTTCGGTTGGATGAGCTGTTTGCAAGACTGGGAACAGCTTCTGTGGCTTTGCTCAGCATAAGTTAACCTGTTCGATTCCCACACTCTGCATTTCCCCTGCCTCACAGGTCCCTGATGCTCCCGTTGCTTATCCCAAACCCTGTTGGTCTCCTTACCCCGCATGAATCCCCACTCTGACAAGGCACCCCTCCATCCTCCGCTGGTCTCCGACCATTCTCATCTTTCCTCACCCGTCTAGCTATGATAGATGTAGCACTGTAAGATCGTGTGTTCCCTTTTATCAATTGGGAATTGCATTTGGTTGAAAGCAAGAGAGCTCCTCACTCACCCCGTCTACTTTAGCCCAGCCAAGGATGTCTTAAATACATATGTGTTTCTTTTTTCACGTACGGGAGCTCCTAAGATTGGTGGTGTAGTTTTGGTATGGTGCCCCGTGCCGTCTGAGACCCAGGCTCCATCTCTGTTTCTGCCTCAGCAGTTTGAGGGCATGAATTCCATGCTCATGGTTCCCTTAGGGTCCAAGATGGATGCTGGAGTGCCGACCGACTTAGCCACATTCTGTAGACCAGAAAAAGTAAGAAATGCAGAAGCTCAAAGTAACACGGCCAGTTACTTTTCCCTTTCAAGAAGCAAGGATCCGACATAATATATCTGGTTACATCCATTTGGCAAACACTTAGTCATATGGTTATACTTAGATGAAAGGAAGGCTGGTGCCTCTTTATTTTAGCTCATCGCTTAGACTCTGTTACAAGGAAACAAGAGGAAAATAATTATTTCAAGGCAATGGGAAGATTTATAACAATCCTCCTTCATTTCCATGTAAGGAAGCCGAGGCTCAGAGGGGTCACTCATTTTATACCTGAGTGTTTTCCATATTCTGTACTGATCTTCAGGAAACTCCTAGGAAGCAAAATCACATAACTGAATCCTAGGCTCCACTCGTGAGCTATGCAAACATGCTTACTTCATGGTGCCTCGCTTCCCCATCTCAAGGAGGAAAAAGAGACAATACATACTCATAGGTTGTTATAAGGATGAAGTGATAACTCAAGAGTGCCTGGGACAGTGTCCAGTCCAGAGCAAACATACAATAAATGGTAGCTATTATTATGTTCATTTAAGCTCTGGATGCAAGGTATAAACAGTACCCTGACAATAATATTGTAGATTAGCCCCCATATTTCACGACACTGGAACAGTGGTAGACTACGTGTAGGTGCTCACTGATTCTTGAACTGAGTTGAATGAATCTGATTAGAACACGGTTGGTCTGATGAGGTTTACTAGTAATCTTGGAGCAACTTCCTCTGGAACTGAGGGTGAAGTCGTAAGGGCCCCGACTCCCCAATCTTTCATGTTTGGAGTGTTCTGAGACCCCCTTCCCGAGAAGCTTCATTTCACCTTTGACTTGATTGGTAAAAGAATTTTGGCCATTTTTTGGGAGATTGCCCTCATTAAATGAATTTTTTGCAGATTTCATTTCATTTTTACTTTGTCTTTGGTCATCATATATTCATTGGGGGATGTTTGGAGGAGATCTGATATCCATGCATCTATTAATCTATTCATCTGTGTCACATGTTCTTGAAATATAAGAGAATTGAAATATTAGAGCAGGAAATCCAACTCACCAAGACCATGATGGGTGAGGAGAAGGTGCTCTGGGTTGAGGTCATGGTGCCTGAACACTCGCAAGCTGCGTAAGGGGGTGGATCTTCACGCATGATTGGAAGCCACTGCAAAGGCTCTCGGCAGAGAGTCACATGGACCCATGCTTGTTTTTAGAAGAGCACCCAGCTGTAGGTGGAGAATAGATTTGGGAGAGCAAGAGAGATGTCAGAGAGAGTTAGGGCCTGTCCTTCGGCTGTTGTCAAATAACTCTGACCTAATGAGTGCAGAATTTACTCGTCCATAACCTGTCCTGTAGGAGTGTGCGCAGCCTGGGGCTTATCACATGCCTCCAGGGACTTAGGACGTAGCCTCCCTCTATCCTGTTGCTGAGTGGCCCCAAAGATACTGACCTCATCCCCATGGCCTTGGATTAATAATAACCATGTCCCTGTGGCAGCCAGCAGGCCCAGGCAGATGGGAAGAAGGAGAATGTGCTCCTTTCCCTCCAGGACATGACCTGTCCCTGAATGCAGCACGTTTGCTCCCAGCCCATCAGCCGTGAGCTCAGCCGAGGGACCACCACTAGCTATAGGGGAGGTGGGAGGGTGAGCTTTATCCCTGGAGGCCATGTGTCCCGCTAAAAGTATTTTATGGTGGAAGAAGGAAGGAACACCGACGCCGTCCTGGATGGCCCCTCAGGGCTGCGGTAAGGACAGTGGAGAAATGGCGAGGTGCACCCTTTTGGGTACATCTTGTAAGTAGATAGATGATTGGACTCTCCCATGAAGGGGACATAGGTGTGAAAGAAAGATGGGAAAAAAGAAACCATGAGTTCTAGTTCTAGGCTCATTCAAATGGCTTCCCATATATCTCCCATGATCTACACACAAACCTAAAATGTTTAAGAGATCTTCTATTATGAGGTATCCTATGGCTTCCATTTTTCCACAAAAATCTTTACACACATCTCCGATTGATTCCCATACATAAACTTTTAAGAATAAATTCAAATCAAAGGATATGAATCAAAGGATATGCAATATTGTAATTTTTTAAATAACAGTCTCCAAACTGCCTTCTAGTAAATTTAACCAATTTAATTCCACCTGCTGTGTATGATGATACCCATTTCCCTTCAAATTTATAAACATAGGATATTAAAATTAAAAAATAGGCTATTTATTAGGCAAAAATTATACATCATTGTTGCTTTAATTTACCCTTTTTGGTTCCATTTGTAAATTTTCTCTTTTTTAAAGATTTTATTTATTTGAGAGAAAGAGAGAGAGCACAAATGGGGGAAGGGCAGAGGGAGAGAGAGAGGCAGTCTCCATGCCGAGCAGGGAGTGGGGGCTCGATCCCAGGACCCTGAGATCATGACCCGAGCCAAAGGCAGACGTTTAACCGACTGACCACCCAGGTGCCCCCATTTGTAAACTTTCTTATCAAACATTTTTTCTTACCCATTTCCTTTCCCTGTTGGGAATTCCATTTCGTGTTACTTTGTTATAAAAAATCTTTTTTTTTTTTTATTGTGGTAAAAACACGTAACATGAAATTTACCATCTTAATCATTTACAACTGTAGAGTTCATTAGTGTTAAATATTTTCACATGATTACGCAACCGATCTCCAGAACTTTCTCATCTCACAGCCCTGAAACTCTACCCACTAAACACCAACTCCTCCTCCTACCCCCAGCCCAGCCCGTGGATACTACTTTGTCCTTTCTGTTTCTACATATTAGCGATGCTGACCTTTTCTTTTTTTTTTTTTTAAGATTTTATTTATTCATTTGAGACACAGAGATACAGAGAGAGAGAGAGCATGAGCAGGGGGAGAGGGAGAGGGAGAAGCAGGCTCCCTGCTGAGCCAGGAGCCAGACGTGGGGCTCCACCCTAGGACCCTGGGATCATGATCCGAGCTGAAGGCATACACTTAACCATCTAAGCCACCCAGGTGCCCCGATGCTGACCTTTCCTTTGGCATGTTATTGCAAATATTCTTCCCAATTTACCGTGTGCTTTCTCATCTCACAGATCATATATTTTACCATGCAGAAGTTTGGGGGTATTTGTTTAATTTTCAT